ATGGAGGTCCCTGGGCAGACCTCCGTACGTACGGGCGTTCGGGGTCCCGTACGGGGTCCGAACCCGACAGCGTTCGGCCCCCGCCAAAAATTATTTCGGGGCCTAAAAATATATATTTTTTCTGAATTGTTTTTTGTGAGTTCTCTATGTCGTGCTGTACACGCCTATAAATTTTCAAGTCATTTGGCTCAGCCAAATAAGAACTAAAAATCGCCAAAGACGGCGGTGTCAAAACGTGCTTGCCTTCATTTTTTTTCACTTTTCACTTTACTTCGGGGTCTAAACAATTTTATTATTTTTTGAAACTTTTTTTAGTGTGTTTTGCATTATGTGAAGTACACACATCTCAATTTTCAGGGCATTTAGCTATTCCCAAAAAAAATGAAAAATTGCCAAAGATGGCGGTGTCGAAAGCGTGCTCGTGAACTCACTAAATTTAATTATTTTTTTTATTTATTGTTATTTTTATTATTAGTATTTGTTTTTCGTAATTTATTTTTATTTCAAATTTGGCAAGGAATTTGGATGTAATGGTCAGGCATATCTTATTTAGTTTATTTTTCTTCATAACATTTTTTTTTTTCAGATTTTTTTGATTTCTCTCTTTTATTTGTTTTTTTTGTTTTTGGGTTCGCGTTCGGCTCGAACGGCCGAACGCATCCCCAAGGGGTCCCATACGTTCGGGCGTTCGGGTTCGGGCGTTTGGCCCGTCCCGAACGCCGGTTACCCTGGGTGGCAGGATGTTTTTTTTTTNTTTTTTTTGGAAAAAACAACCCGAGTGAATGCTAGGGGTGCTGATAAGAGCAGACACCTCTGGCATACTCGGGGAGGCTCCATCTATTGGTGGGGAGCAACACCTGCTGGAAAGCGGGTCCAGCATCCCTCGACATTATAGGAAGGGCCATTTTGTAAACGAGTTATGAAACCGTGCCACGTGTCCATCCTAATGTATGCATGAGCTAACACCTGCATCGACACGTGGACACGATGGTTTTTGTGTATCTTCGCGCCTGTTTTTATCACCTGACCTGAAAGTGCGAACTGTGGCGATCAAGTTCATGGTTGAGAGTCTTGATACATTCTGTCCAAAAAAAAAAAAAGATTCCTGGAATCTTCAAAAAGTCACAAAAAACGAAATAGGGGGTATAGCCCAGAATTCAGTGCGGCCCCATGTACTTTTATTTTATTTTATTTTTCTGTTCAGGGAGTCCAAGAACCCCAAAACGCTTTTACCGCACGGGAGCCCCTTCAGACGTTCAAACGGCCCACACAAAAATACCCCGTTCAATGGACGGGGATACGCATTGTCTTCCGACATCCATGGATACATCGCAGGACACCGCTAGCTAATGGGACCTCGCTGCTGAATGCTTGAATGGACCACGTCACTGCCAGCAAGTGCGGAGGTTTGTACCTGCGGCGCACTATCTGATCAAGAATGGCGATGGATGACGGAAGAGCCTTGCAACGGGACTCAAACCCCTTTTCCCCTTCAACAACACAACCGGTAGCAAACAAAATCAAGTGGTAAAAAAGAAACACCCAAAACGCAGTCGGTAGGGAGGGGAGGTGGGGGTGGACACTCAACCAATCGTTCGTTCTTATTATTCACTCTGTGAGTATGCACCTCATTGCTCCCAGCTGCGAACCGATGGATGCGAGAGCCCAGCGGCAACCACTGCCTGATGCCCCTGATGAATGCGAGAGCCCAGCAACGCCTGCCTGATGCCCCGATCAACAAGTTCCCAGGGTGCAGGCCGATGACCTCTCACCTGTAATCACCTGCAACGACTGCTGCCCCACCCTTGCTCCCAGCCGACCGCTCTACAGAACAGCAGTGAGTGCATTTTCTTCTGATCCAAAAAGCTCGTCATTTTGCTTTTCCCCGATGCCGCAGCTTCTCACCTCTCGCCTATAAGCTCACCTTGTCTCAAGGGAACCGGAGGTGTTAAACAACCACTAACTACCTTTCCCAGGCATCGTCGACTTCGTCAAGGATGCAACATTTTCGGCACTTCGGAGGCTCAGACCTACCATACGCGAATGGGTGGTGGCGCCAACCAAAATGAAAAGGAAAAGCGCGGCATTGGCAGTTCAACAAAGCTTGGCACGCAGTTCTTTCCTGGCTCCGCAAAGAGAGGCTCGGTGGTGCTGGTCGTTTAAGGAACCCTCCAACTCCCGCACCACCCACTCCCAGCCAGACTGCTCTACAGGACAGCAGTGAGCGCACACTCTTCTGATCGAAAACCTCGGCGTTTTGCTCTTTCGTTATCCTGCTTCTTTCCCTCTGGGCCTCCGCTCCCCTTTCCCACCCCCACCTGTCCGGAATGCAAGTGGAAGGTCCAGATGGGTCCTTTCATGATACTGATGATGATGATGATGTGCGTATTGTAATCAAAAGGTTGCTTTTGGGGAGATCTGCCTTCTCTACTGTTGTTTCCCTCAAGACCTCTTCCCCACATCCTAGACAGAATGTTATGGAAGAGGGAGATGGTTTCTTTCATGCGGCAGAGGTTCTGCCTCATGGTTTCTTTCATCTCTCACAAGAAGAGAAGAATTAATTACCTTTGTTCTGTGACGAAGGATACAGAACAAAATTTGAACGAGGCTGAATCATACTCACAGTGACGACCGTCAATGGACAAGGAGTTCAGGAAAAAAAAAGCATCACAAGAGACACACAAGAGTCAATGAAACACTATAATCCCCTGCAGAGGCAGGGTGGGAAAGGAGACAAGGGGGAATTGGAAGAGGCGGCGGACACGCCACCTGCATGAGAGCCATGTTTTGTGACCAAAAAATAAGTGAGTTCACAGCACTCTTTCACGGTACCGCCGGGGATACCGGGCTGATGACACGCAAGACTGAAGGGACAAGGCGATGCAGTACGCCATAACATGTAATCCATCCCGCATTACCGCCAAGGCCATTCCCGACCATTGTGAGGCTTTACACAGGGCAGGTGAATCCCGCAACATCCAAATCCAATGATTCGAATCAATCATACATTAAAGGCCAGGCCCTTTGTCGACGACATCGCATAATAAATTGCATACACCAAGTGGTCTAGCCCCCCCACGCATGATCTCAAAGGGTGTTGAGATCGAAGTCCGAAAATAATACTGGCCTTTCCGCGTGCTGGCCCATGCCAGAGAGTCAGGGTGGATCTGTAACTGCTCTCGCAGGATCGATTCCAAGGTTACATACAGATGCAGCTTCACATTCTTCAATGTGCAATAAACTCAGTTCATAGATAGACATACAGCCGCGGGCTAGCGTCATCACATTCAGTCAAAGGTCAGAAACAAGGGCCAAAAGTCACGTCCCAAGACTGAGAAATGTGTGAGAGAGGGCTTAGGGTCAAGGGGAATCATGGCCTGAGTCGAAAACAGTAGTGGCCAGAAGCCCCACGTGAGGTAGTTGCCTCTTGGAAAATCAAGAGTCAGACCAAGCACGGGAAGAGCAGGCCCAAAGTCAAAGTCAACGCAGTAGTCAGCCTCGGCCATAGATCAGATGCATATCAATGGGTTGTCTGCAGGTATCTGGAAGATTCCGGTCCTGACTGCAAAAAGGTACCGATGCTTCAAGGCTGCATCCACGCCGTCGAGATCGGGAAAATCTGAAGCGTCGACACCGTCAAAGGGGAGACTGGTCCACGCCAGTCAACACTAGTCACCGCCACAAAAGGACAGTCAGACACTGGGGAAGGCATTATGCCTTGCACTGGCTTGATGCTAGTGCTGTATCGCGAGGCTGCTGGACACACCTGGAGTGGGTTGCTGGAGTGGGATGCTGGTGCCAGATGTTGCTGGAGGGCGCCAGCCTAGAGGGAGATTGTGTTGGCGCGACCAGAGCCGCATAGCTGTAGACTCAATCTTCCCCCGAACAAAACACACGTATGTACTATTCAACTTTCCCCGGAAAAGTCCATTTCTCAAAGTTGGCCCCCGAAATCCAAATAGTATGCATGTATGTTCTATTCAAACAGACAGCTGTTGTATTCAAATAGAACACCTCTCTCTCTCTCTCTCTCTCTCTCTCTCTCTCTCTCTCTCTCTC